CTAGTATAGACATATGGTGATAGGGACACTCTGGTATCCCCGAATTTCGACTCTCACCACATTTAAGCTGTGGCCTCCTCCACCACTTCTATGCTGCCCACTTCAGGGCTGAATAATAGGGAGCATCTTTCAGCCATTTCCTTTGAGCCCTGGACCCCCCTTTAGGGGGGGGGGTGCATCATCACAGTGGCCTTAGCTTGTTGTTCTGCAATGCTGAACAGAGTTCACACATCATTCTGCAAGTGCCAATGAGTGCTGAAGTAAGGAACGCCTGTTGCTGTGGCCTAATAGGAGGATAAAAGATCTGTAATGGTACCAAACCAGTGAGAAGATGGCTGGAATAAGGTATATATTTAGGGATTTGTTTTTTTTAAATAGGTGGGGGGAGTGAAAGGGTTTGGGGAAGGGAAGGACCGGGTTCTGTAGATGTTCTTTAACCTCCCTAGCAGTCTGATTATGTCAGTATTTCTGTGCTCAAAGCGGTACATTTTTTTGCATGGAAATATGTAGTTTTTTTACTGTAGGCCTGTAATTCTTAGGAATAACTCACTGAAATCTGTCAGAACAAGAGTCTAGTAAACATCCCGGGTATGATAAAATTTGAAACACGAAATCATAAATTATAATTTAATAAATAATCATAAAAAAATAATAATATAATATTAATACATTTAATTCAATAATATACTCAAACCAAAAACACTGAAATTTGAAATAAAGCTCCAAGTTCGCACATCGCTGAGCAAAGTCGCAGAATCGTTTTCAGTGTCTGATGAGGAATTTCCCCCACCAATCATTATCACTCAATTCTGCAAGTGGTTCTGATTTACTATCGCTGTTCTCTAGCCGGTCTAAAACCGCTTTTGACCTAAAGGGACGCTTTTTGGACGCCATGGACGTTTCTCAGTTTCCATGCAGAAAGAACAGTAAAAATGCAGGCAGGGCGCCGGACAAAGCACTCGGGACAAAATGTATGTGAAATGGTTTGATAGAGGAAATGTTATACTATGTGATTTTAGTGTATTGAGTGAATGTCACTTTTAAAATTTTCAAATTTCCCGCCAATTCCATCCCCCGTACGTCCCGACGTCGCAGGGGACGGAACCCAGAAGACAGATGCTGGCATCTGCCGGAGGACATTGCCGGGGACACTGCAGGGGGGACATTGCGGGAGCGCAGGACAAGGTAAGTGCAGAAGGGATCCGAAGCAACGCTGCAGTGTATTCCCGAGTGTAGCTCGGGGTTACCGCTTGTGGTGCTGAACCTTACCCCGAGCTACACTCGGGAATACCGCCAGGGGGGTTAAGATATAACTGAAAAACTAAAGAAAATTTAGCACAATTAGAATACGTCAAAAATGTAAAACTCACTGGCCACTTTATGAGGTACACTTGCTCAATTGCTTGTGAACACAAATTGTTAACCAGCCAATTTCATGGCAGCAACTCAATGCATTTAGCCATCTAGACGTGGTGAAGAAAACTTACTGAAGTTCAAACTGAGCATCAGAATGGGGAAGAAAGGGGATTTAAGTAACTTGGAATGTGGCATGGTTGTCGGTGCCAGACGGGCAGGTCTGAGTATTTAAAAAACTGCTGATCTACTGGGATTTTCACACCCAACCATCTCTAGGGTTTACAAAGAATGGTCCGAAAAAAGAGAAAATATCCAGTGATCGGCATTTGTGTGGAGGAAAATGCCTTGTTGATGTCAGAGGAGAATGGGCAGACTGGTTGCTGCAAATTTCAGATGGGATTGTCAGAATTTGGTGTAAACAACATGAAAGCATGGATCCATCCTGCCTTGTATCAGCGATTCAGGGGTGGTGGTGTAATGGTGGGGGGGATATTTTCCTTGCACTAGCAAGGTGGACCCAATAAAGTGGATGGTGAGTGTAAATGCATCACACTATGTAAATACCTGCGAGATCAGAATCAGAGAAGCTGGTGACGGCTGCTGTTGACTGATCTTCATTGATAGTGCCTGTAGCTTGATCGTAGTTTATAGTAGAAAAGCCTGCTATGCTGACCCTGAAAGTCAAGAAATTGTCCACCTTATTATTAGCAGGGATTGATTTTGCAGCAAATTCAACAATTTCACAAAAAAATTTTCAAAAATAGCCTCTAGTTCCACCATGCAGACTGCATAAAGGGAATTGTAGATTTTTTTTTCTAAGAAAGGCAAAAGATCGGCATTAGGGATGAGAAATTTTTCTGCAACTTTAACAATTTCACCAACATTTTATAAAATTGAGCCTCAAGTTTCGCCATAGACACTGCTTAGAGAAACCTTGTGATCACCATCTCAGGATGACACCAAAGTCAATGTCTTTTTCTGGCAAAGCCAACTCTCGCCATATTGCTTACCCAGGGGCGGACCGTCAACTCATGGGGCCCCCAGGCAATAGGGGATCATGGGGCCCCTGTGTCCTTGCCCAAACTCAAAAAAGCCTATGAAAAAGGTACCAGGGGCATCTCATGGGGCCCCCTACTGAACCCCGGCCCTCGGGCAATGCCCGAGTTTCCAAATGGTCAGTCCGCCCCTGTGCTTACCCCACTACCAACCCTTTGATAAACAAAGCCAGACAACCATCATGTTATCACTGTCTTACAGAAGCGGTTTGTGTTACGGCGCTGCGTTATTTTAACTGACAATTGTGCGGTCATGCAACGCTGCACCAAAATTAAATTTACATCATTTTTTTCCCACGAATTGAGCTTTCTTTTGGTGGTATTTGATTGCCTGTGCGTTTTTTATTTTTTGTGCTATAAAAAAAAAGACTAAACATTTTTGAGAAAAAAAAAAAAACAATATTTTGGACTTTTTGCTATAAAACATGTCCAGTAAAAATGTACAAATCAAATTTTGTCATAAATGTTGGCCAAAATGTATTCTGCTCCATGTCTTTGCTAAAAAAAAATCTCAATACGTGTAAATTAATTGGTTTATGTGAAAGTTATAGCGTGCACAAATGCCGGTATAGATACTGGATTTTTTTTGTATACTAATAATAGCGGCGATCAGGGACTTATGGCAGCAACCAGTGACTTATGGTGGCAATCAGTGACTTATGGTGGGACTGTGGGACTGCGGCGGACATTCTGACACTGGGGGGAACTGACTTGGGGTCACTGACATCCCCAGTGACATCAATACAATGATCAGTGCAAAAAAAAAGCACTGACACTGTACTAATGGCTCTGGGGAGGAAGGGGTTAACATTAAAAGGCAATCAAAGGGTTAAACTGTGTAAGGGAAGTGTTTCACTAGGGGGTGGGGGGGGGGGGTGTGCTTCACTGTTACACACTGTCCCAGGAAGCGAAGCTCTGCTCTCTGGAACAGTGTGCTGGAAACTGACAAGAAGGAGAGCTGCATTGAAAACAATGCAGCTGTGCTCCCTGTCAGTGTTTGCAGGCAATTGCTGGGACCCGGCGGGTAATCACCGGCCGGAACCCGTTAATTGACACCCGCGTCCGTGAACTGTGCCGCGGGGTAGGGTGGTTTTGCGCCTCACGCGCACCCCCTACCATGTAAACAGGATGACGTTTATAAACGTGATCCTGCCTACAGGGGCCGCTTTGCCGCAGTATATGTACTGTGGGCGGTCCCCTAGTGGTTAATGATCACATGACTATATTTATAAAATAACCCAATTCTTTCCAAAAATGAAGTGAAAACTCACAATTTTGCTTATCAAAGGTTATTATACAGAGACTTTCCATGCAATGTACTGTATATGTTATACATTTTTTCACATTCTTTCACCTCCAGTCAATCTAATAGAGGTTCGATCTAGTGTCTCAGCAATGGGATTCCGGATTTGTAAAGACAAGGTGTTCCTCATTGCATGGAGATTAATGCCTCTGTATTACCTGTATTGTAAATCAGGGTCCAATGGTCCATTGATGTATCCCTTTGATACAGTGCCATCCCCAACGTTGACACTGATCTCATTTACATGGCTTGTTTTCCGGGTCTTCCGCTGCTCAACCACAGAGGTGACATACGTCGTGGTCAACCCATCCTTAAAATCATTATATGTCTTTGCTAATGATTCTTTAGTTGGTTGGTCAACTGCAAGAGAAGAAAAAAAGAACAACCAATGGGATAGCATGACCAATGAAAATACTTTCAAAAACATAATGATTTCTATATTTGATAGATTTGGCCTCGCTTCTGCTTTTTTCCTGCAACAATCCTTATTTAAATTTTTTTCTGTCTATTGTGTTTCATTTTTTTAGATACTCCTGCGCATAAAAGATTATCTTGATGTAAATAATGTTACCAAGATGTGCTTCTAGGTATAATTTAATATATTAGGACTACTATGCTATCACATTACATACGTGGATCAGCGTTCTGCTCTGCAGCGCTTCACAATGGTTGTGCTTCACTGATCCTTCCCACAATGCAAGTCTATGAGCCGACTAAATTGAAAATTAGCAGTTAACCTCCCTAGCAGTCTGATTATGTCCATATTTTTGTGCTCAAAGCGGTAAATTTTTTTGCATGGAAATATTTTTTTTTTTTATTATAGGCCTGTAATTTTTAGGAATAACTCACTGAAATCTGTCCGAACAAGAGTCTAGTAAGCATCCCGGGGATGATAAAATTTGAAACACAAAATCGTACATTATAAATTAATAAATAATCATAAAAAATAATAATTTAATAATAATAATAATAATATAATAAATAAATTTAATTCAATAATATATAATCAAACCAAAAACACTGAAATTTAAAATAGAGCGCCAAGTTCGCACATCACTGAGCTCAGTCGCAGAATCGTTTTCAGTGTCTGATGAGGAATTTCCCCCACGAATCATTATCACTCAATTCTGCAAGTGGTTCTGATTTACTATCGCTGTTCTCTAGCCGGTCTAAAACCGCTTTTGACCTAAAGGGACGCTTTTTGGACGCCATGGACGTTTCTCAGTTTCCAGGCAGAAAGAACAGTAAAGATGCAGGCAGGGAGCCGGACAAAGCACTCGGGACAAATGTATGTGAAATGGTTTGATGCAGGAATGTTATATTATGTGATTTTAGTGTATTTAGTGAATGTCACTTTTTGTCATTTTCAAATTTCCCGCCGTTCCGTTCTCTGTACGTCCCGACGTCGCAGGGAATGGAACCCGGAAGACAGATGCCGGCATCGGCCGGAGGACATTGCCGGGGACACTGCAGGAGGGACATCACGGGAGCGCAGGACAAGGTAAGAGAAGAACAGATCCCGGAGCAACGCTGCAGTGTATTCCCGAGTGTAGCTCGGGGTTACCTCTTGCGGTACTGAAACTTTACCCCGAGCTACACTCAGGAATACCACCAGGGAGGCTACGGCAAATTAGAGTCACTTTTGATCTCCATTTCACTGCATGGCCATGAGAATGTTGTCAAATTAGTGTAGGTCCTGTTCCTAGATGACACCATGGGGGAGGTTACCAAAACTGGTGCACACAGAATCTATTGCAGCTGTGCACAGTAACCAATCAGCTTCTAGGTTTTGTTGCTGAAGCTTAATTGAACAACCTGAAATTAGAAGTTGATTGGTTGCTCTGCACAGTTGCACCAGATTCAGGGCTGTCTTAATGCATGGGGTGCATGGGGTGGCCTAGGGGCCCCTTTGTTATCTTGCATTACATCATACTTGCCAACTGTCTCTGATCTGCGTGGACAGTCATGTTTTCTACCAAGCTTTCCAGGGATGGCCCAGGCAGTGTCCCAGAACCTGTACTGTGTCCTCATGATCCCAGTATTGTGCCCTGCTGACTCCCCCCGTTCTGTTCCCTTCTTCCCTCTCTCCACCCCCCCCCCCCACCGTGCCCGTTGTGTTGATTAGAATTTGATTTATGGCATGTTTTCTTGTTTAACCACTTGACCTCCAGAGGATTTACCCCCCTTAATGACCAGGCCTCTTTTTGCTACTCGGCGCTGCACTAATTCAACTGATAATTGCGCGGTCATGCAATGCTGCACCCAAACGAAATTTACGTCCTTTTTTTCACACAAATAGAGCTTTCTTTCGGTGTAATTTGATCACCTGTGCGCTTTTTATTTTTTCACGCCATAAACAAAAAAAGGCCAAAAATTTTGAAGAAAAACAATATTTTTTTACTTTCAGCTATAAAAAATATATAGTAAACTCAAAGTTTGTTATAAATTTAGGCCAAAATGTATTCTGCTCCATGTTTTTGGTAAAAAAAATCCCAATAAGTGTATATTGATTGCTTTGTGTAAAAGTTATAACGTCTACAAACTATGGTATAAATACTGCAATTTACGCCATTTTTCTGCTATACAACGCTGCGCTAGTTTAACGGACAATTGCGCGGTCATGCAATACGGTACATAGATGAAATTTACATCCTTTTTTTTTTCCCCACAAATTGAGCTTTCTTTCGGTGGTATTTGATTGCCTGTGCGGTTTTTATTTTTTGCGCTATAAAAAAAAAGGTTGGCAATTTTGAGGAAAAAAAAACGATATTTTGGACTTTTTGCTATAAAACATGTCCAGTAACAAAAAAGGCAAAAATCAAATTTAGTCATAAATTTCTGCCAAAATGCATTCTGTGACATGTCTTTGCTAAAAAAAAAAATCCCAATACGTGTAAATTAATTGGTTTACGTGAAAGTTATAGCGTTTACAAAAGACAGGAAAGATACTGGGATTTTAAATTTTTTTTTATACTAATAATGGCGGCGATCAGCGACTTATGGTGGGACTGCGGGACTGCGGCGGACATTTTGACACTGAGGGGGAACTGACTTGGAGTCACTGACATCCCCAGTGACACCAATACAGTGATCAGTGAAAAAAACCCCCCACTGACACTGTACTAATGTCACTGGGGAGGAAGGGGTTAACATATTTAGTGTTTACTGTGTGAGGGGAGTGTTTTACTAGGGGTGGGGGGGGGGGTGTGTAGGGGGGGGGAGGGAGGGGGGAGCTGATCGAGGGAGAGAAACTCTTCTCTCCCTCTTCAGCAGTGACCCGGCGGCGGAGACTCGCTGCTGACACCCGCGGGACAGGCAGGACGGGCGCGCGCGCCTCACATGCGCCCCCTACCTGTTTTGCAGAACCACGTTTTAAAAACGTGGTTTTACCTTCGAGTGCCGCCCTGCAACCGTTTATATGCGGTGGCTGGGCGGCAAGTGGTTAAAATCAATTTTATTTAAAGTACTAATATATGTTTAATTCTATCAACCATTTATATTTCAATTCTTGAGGGTAGGTGTGTAAATTGGGGCAGGCTAGTAGGGGCCCCAGTTCATTACTTTGCCCTGGGGCCCGTGATGCGGCCCTGACCAGATTCAATGTGCAACAGTTTTAGTAAATCTCCCCCCCCCCCCACGTCTGTGGTATTCAAGCCACTTCCAGCTAGGGCAAGCTGTTATAGACCATGAGCTAGAAATGACCTCTCCTGCACTCTATGACCCAGAATGGGGGTGGATAGATGGAACCAGAACGTGAAGATTCGACCACCAATGCATATAGGGCTGTGCAGGTCCAAACAAGGCTGGGGAAGCCCGACCAATACTGTACAGCGAAAACAAAAAAGAAAGCGCACCAACCTTGTGCATTACCTCAGTAAACCATAATTTTATTGAATACAGAATGATACTCACAAACAACGAAGTAAATCAAGCATGTAAGTCCTCAAAGGAACTTTAGAACTGTGAAGCCTGTGTGAGTCACATCGTAGGGGTAGACACTCAGAGTACGACTGACGCATTTCGAAGGGCTCCGATGAAGAAGGGATGCCCTTCAAAATGCGTCAGTAAAGATATTATGTGGCATCAATCACTGGATCTCTGGAGTTTCTAAGCTAAACATTGGGTATTACAATTATGTAGCACCCTCCTAGTAGGATGCTAGGCAAATTTTATTCTTGGCTTCTTCTGTAATCAAGGGAGCAGTAATTGTTTTTGCCTGGCCTATTCAGGGTTTCACAGGCTGGAAGTTTGATTACTTTCCTCTGCCTCTGAAAGAAGCTTCCAGAGTCTATGGCAGGAGATTCAAAACAATAAACCAAAAGCGATTTCTCCTGCGCTCCGGGACCCAGGCCGGTGGTGAGTAGATGAAATTAAAACCTCCAGAGAAGCAACCACCGGAGTATCCAAGGTTGTGCAGCTCCAAACAAAGGCTGGGGAAGCCCGAACAAACTGCGAAGTAAAACAACAAGAAGCGCACCAACCTTGTGCATTACCTCAGTAACCAAAATTTATTTAATGAAGGAAAGGTACTCACAAACAGCGAATAAAAACAGGCATGTAAGTCCACCAAGGGACTTCATAGGTAAGAGGCCAGCGCGAATCCCATCATGGGTGTAGGTACTCAGTCCAGCTGACGCGTTTCGAAGGAAGCTCTGAGGAAGAAGGCATGACCTTCAAAACGCGTCAGCTGGACTGAGTACCTACACCCATGATGGGATTCGCGCTAGCCTCTTACCTTTGAAGTCCCTTGGTGGACTTACATGCCTGTTTTTATTCGCTGTTTGTGAGTACCTTTCCTTCATTAAATAAATTTTGGTTACTGAGGTAATGCACAAGGTTGGTGCGCTTCTTGTTGTTTTACTTCGCAGGAGATTCAAAACAACCAGCCTAAATATTTGTCAGGTTCCAGCCAGTTCCTTGAGAGGAGTGTCCAGTAGGGGGCTGGAGTGGTGATAAATAGTCTGAGACACTGGAGAGCTGTGGTCCTTCTCTTCAGGAGGCTATTGCCCTCAGGCTGCCCATGGATGGAATGGCTGCTCTTGAGACTTCAGCAGTGCCGGGGCTGATGGCCTAGATGGACTTTGCTTGGAGCTCATTGCAGCACCACACCACAAGGGATCTGGTCCTGAGAGGTACCATCTCACTCACTGAACCATGTCTGGAGGAAGCTGGAAGTTGGCAGCTTTCCTGGAGACTTGTGAGCAGTGACCTTTAACTGATCCCTGTGACTGGCGTACACACAGATGTGCCACAATGAAAAATATTTAAATGCCTAAAAGACCATGGTCTTCAGCTGTGAGGCCTTAGACTGTTCATACTTACTGTTGCTCTCAAAGAAGATTGTTCTCTAACTATTAGGTGCCAAGCATTTTGGGGTATGCCATACCCAAGTTCCCCTCTCCTGTTGAAGTTCTGCAAGCAATACAAGAAGACGTCTCCTATACTGGATAATTGAAGTTAATTTGAATGGGCTGGTGCTTGTTGGGACAGGCAGCCTCTGTACTTGTTGGGGAAGAACCAGTTAAAGTGATTGTAAAGATTTTTTTAAGTAGTATTAAAATGACAAAAATGTTATACTTACTTACTCTACGCAGTGGTTTTGCACACAGCAGCCCTGATTCTCCTTCTCAGGGTCCCCCGCTGGTGCTCCAGGCTCCTCCCTCCATCTAGTGCCCCATAGCAAGCCCCCTTTCAATGGGGGCACTCATGCATGCTCACTCCCAAGCCCAACCCTCTGCTCCCTCCTCACGTGCTGTGTTTGACAGCAGCGAAAGACAATGGCTCCCACTGCTGTATCTGAACCAATGATGGGGGAGAGAGCCAAGAGAGCCTCAGCTCTTGTGCACATCGCTGGATTGAGATCAGGTTCAGGTATGTATTAAAGAGGGGCTGCATGCTGAAGCTTTTTGACCTTACTGCATAGAATGCATTAAGGTAAAGACCTTCTGCCTTTACAACCACATTAATACAAGTGGCCCTTTCAGGAGAAGCACTAGAAATATGTACTCACTGCAACTATATCATACTTTCAAGGAGGTCATTCTTAGTAAGGCTGAGGTGTGCTCTTTAGAAAATACAATTAGCAAACACTGAAAGGACACAAAGTTCTGAACTTGTAGGTTTTTTTTGGAATAGGTTTTTATGGCTGCTTAGTACAATGATACCTAAAGAAAATAAACCTTTAAAATGCATACATTTTATTTGCTCAGTTGCACAGTAATGCTGCTAGTTATCATTCTTATGTTCAATTTTCTGTTCCTACCATTAGAATCGGTTGTCATGATGATGGCATAAGCCACTGTGGGTCCATTTGAAGTTTCAAAACTTTGGAAGGTGATGTTCATGGCATCCCCCGAGGATGAGCGAACAACCTGCACATTGACTGGTTCCTCTAAAAGAGCTGAAAAAAATGGCAATATCAGTATTACATCTCCATTTACAGGTAAGTGTCATAGATTAGAGGCTGTACCATTTGTGGGCAGACTGACTGATCAGGATTTAGCTATAGCAGCTGGAGTCGGTGGTTGTGTAGGTCAGAAATGATACCCAGAACACCACCGGAGTCTTGGAGAAACAGGATACGCAATGGCAGAGAAGGAATAGATCTGAACATGCCTTCGCCTTGACTA